GGCTGAGGTTGTGGCTCAGTGGTAGAGCACTTGCCTAGCACGTGTGAGGCACTGGGTTCAATCCTCAGCACCGCATATAAAAAAGTAAACTAATAAAATAAAGTTTAAGAAAGTAAAAAAAAAAAAAAAGAAGCTCACAACTGCTACAGGGTCTTCACCAGTGAAGGAAAATTACCTGAGCAACATCCAACACATTGGAGAACACATAGTCTAAATCTCTGGACTTGATCTTGGCTGGTTAACGAGGCTTCCTCTGCCAAAAGTCATGTTGCCTGAAGGAGGAACAGGATTCAGCTTGGTGGGGAGAAGGTGGGAGGAGAAGGAATGTGCTCAGCAGAAGTAGGACTACAGGTTGTTTTAATTTTAATTTTATTTTTTATATCTAACAGTGTTTTTAAAATGTTCTTCATCCAACATGAATTACATTTATATAAAAAGAATTATAAAATATGAAGGGTAAGAATGACTCTCAGGTCAACATGGGTGTCTTAATTTGTGTGTGGAAGGTCCATCAGATGCACAAAAGACGTGAAATGGTTTTCCTAAGGTTGCATGATAATTGGATGGCTGAATGGGTTCCAGAAATCTAGTTCAGCATCAGAACTGCTATATCCTGCTTTGCTCTGCTGATACCAACAATGTTTATCTTGTGGTACATCTCCAATTTCTAAAACTCTGACATAAATCTCAATGGTTACTTAAAATTCCCTATAAAATAGCTGGGCACAGTGACCCACACCTATAATTCCAGAGACTTTATACACTTTAGCTTCTGTTGTCCCCACCCCCCCAACCTGGGAAGTTGCTAAAAAAGCAGATTCTAATGCTTTCCTCTCCTGCTCAGATTTGCAGTGGGGTCCTTCAGGTGATTGTAATGCAGGCTCAAAGGTGAGAAACATGTCATTTTAGCTGATTAGCTCGGATGTTTTCCCAGGGGAGGTTAAAGAGAATCCTTCTGGGGAAAACAAATGCAAAAGCAAAATGGCATACTTCCATTTTCCCAGAGAGCTCCAGCTCAAGGGTTGGCAACCCCTCCACCCCATCTCTCTGTAGGATTTGAGTGGTCACCACACTGTCACAGCCTGAAGGCATTATCCAGAAAAGGAGAAAATGCTAGAAAAGAAAGGGAAGAGAGAGTGTAAGATAAATTAAAAGGAGGATGAGAACATAAAAAAAGAGAGAATGAAAATTAAAAAAATAAAGATCACATGGTAGCAAGTAGATGACACTATTCTCTCACAGCCACTTGTTTATTTAATGTGTTCATCATTTTTCCAGTTTTAATCTCTGCACCTTTAAGTTCATTTATTTTTCCCATCCCTACATTTTATTGTCTATCATTTCCAAAATCCAATAGGCTCAACATTTCTTACACTATTCAGTGCCTTGACATTTAAGGAAGAGTTTGTCAGTGATCCCCTACTCTTTGGTCCAAAATTCTTTGGTCATGAACACTCAAAGTTACTTAAAAGAGTCATATAGTGGTTGAGGCAGGCCTGCTGAGGAGTTTTGTGCACTGAAAAGGTATGAGGTATGGTCAAGAAGCACATGGAAGTGCTTTGGATACAGCAGTATCAGCAAGCGAGTGAACAGATGTGAAGCTTGCATAAGAGAGAATCTCTCCAAATTACTCAAACATGGACCTTGGTCCCATGTGTAGATCTTCCTCTACCACAGAAAGCCCAGGAAAAATTCCTTCAACCTGGGGCAGGGTAATGACATGCAGAAAATGAAAGATCTGAGTGTTTCAAGGGTAAAGCATTAAACAATTGTGAATATGAAACTCGGACCCAACAAAGATTTGAGAATTTTTAGCCTATTTATTCTGACAAAATGTCTACCATGTCCAGAAACATCAGTCTATCTCATGAGGGCACATATACCAGTCAATTTTTTTTCCGGGGGGTGGGGTGGCATAGAGACTGAACCCAGGGGTCCTTAACCACTAGCTACGATCCCAGGCCTTTTTATTTTTTATCTAGAGACAGGGTCTTGCTAAGTTGCTTAGGGCCTCATTGAGTTTGCTGAGGCTGGCTTTGAACTTGTGATCTTCAGTCTCAACCTCCCAATTTACTGGGATTACAGCCATGTGCCACTGTGCCCAGCCTTATTGCAGAGAAACAGAATTTTGTTTTTGTTTGAGTTGAATGCATACCTAATGAGACTGCTCATATTTTACTGAGTTCCTTTTCAAAAATTATGCTAGGCAAGTACTCTACCACTAAGCTGCATCCGGAGCCCCATCTTTTGTAAATTTGATGACATTTGCAAGAGATAAAGGGCAGCAATATATTAAACCAGGTATCTGACTGTTTGAGACACCTAGTTCCTTATATTTTAAATAAATAAATGAGTGTTTACTTATATAGAACCCTGGAATGGTAAAGCTTTACCATTGAACTACATCCCCAGTCCTTTTTACTTTTCATTTTGAGACAGGGTCTAAGTGGCTGAGGCGGGCCTCACTGGTGATCCTCCTGTGTCAGTCTCTTGAGTCACTGGGATTACAGGGATGCACCACTGTTCCTAGCTGCCTTTGAGGGTTTTGAGATTGCCATGCCGTGTTCTGACTCCAGAGCAATCAAATCAGGATCTCAAAGGATGCGACCAAGAGGCATCTCTATTTTAAAGCTCCACAAGTGATTCCAATGTGTAGCCAGGATCGAGAATCACAGTTCTAGTCTTACTATTTCATTTTATAGATAAGGATACAGAAGCTTAAAGAGATGGAGCAACTTTCTCAAGGTTACGCTTCTAGTAAGTGGTGTCTCATACCCAGCTCTCAGTGAATCTAATATTCTTTCCACTAGGCTCTTTTGTCTTTTCCTCTAGAACATAGAGTTTTGCTGAATATTAAAGTTATGCAACTTGCTTTGAGAGAGAAGGGCCAGAGTCCATCAGTAAGGATTGGTGGGGCAACTTCTGAGGGCTCACCTCAGTCATGCGTTCTTTGATTCAGCACAGCTCTAGCTGAATCTTATTGATGGCGAGGCAGTCAAATGACATCTTGCTTAAAGCAATGACTAATACTGAGTGTATATTAGCCTGTGTTGGGCAAGTCACTTGCTCATGAGTTAGTTTCCCCATCACAGTATTCTCACTTTCAGGAGTTAACCAAGTTAAAGTAAATGATAGTATAGGCAGATCAGTGGTGTTTTTTTTTTTGTTTTGTTTTGTTTTTTTTTTGGTGCTGGGGATTGAACCCAGGGCCTTATGCTTGCCAGACAAGCACTCTACCAACTGAACTATACCCCCAGCCCCCATCAGTGGTTCTTAACATTTGGGTTAGAGTGAGGACTAGGGTGGGGAGTCACAGGTTCCATTAGTTAAAGCTATAAAGTTCCCCAGAAAAATACACATACATAAATGTCACATGTAAGTTCTAGGAATTCACTGAATTCACTGAAGAGCCTTCCCACATTCTAAATCTATGACCAAGCACATTTACAGACCCCAGGTGAAGATCTCCTGAACTAGAGGATTTTGAAGTTGTATTTTAGTGTTTTGCAAAGTGTGGCCCAAGGACAACAACATGAAGACAGTGTTTGTTTAAAGATAATATCAGATTTTTCCTTGTGTGGTGAAGGATGCCTTCCCAGCTAGTTTGGAGGCTGAGACAAGGGGATTACAAGTTAGGGGCCAGCCTCATCAATTTAGCAAGTTATTCTATAATTTAGCAACTTAGACCTTGTCTCAAAATGAAAAGCAAAAAGGACTGGAGGGGTTGGAGTTGTGGCTCAGTGGTAGAGTCCTTGCCTAGCACATGTGAGGCACTGAGTTAGATCCTCATCACCACATAAACATAAATAAATAAAATGAAGATATAAAAAAAAATGGTATTCAGTTTTAATAAAAAAGGACTGGAGATGTAGGTCAGTGGGTTCAATTCCCAGTCCAAAAAAAAAAAGGGGGGGGGGGAAGAAAAAGTAAATAACAGATATGTAGGCCTACCATAGATTTTCTATTTCAGAATCCCTGGGAAATGAGATACTGGTATCAGTTGTTTTTAAAAACATTGAGATGATTCTTTTGAAGACTAACATTTGAGAATCAGCATTTTATTCCAACTTGAGATTTTTAGGGTGTTCGAATGCTTTGATCTGTTGCCTTAGGTTTTGTCTTTTCACTTGGCAAATATACCATTACAGAATACATGTATAGAATGTTAACAGGTCTATCTAGGTAATAATATGAATGATCTTTTTAAAATTTTTTAGCTGTAGTTGGACACAGTATCTTTATTTATTTTTATGTGGTGCTGAGGATCGAACCCAGGGCCTAGCAGTGCTTAGGTGAGCACTCTACCGCTGAGCCACAATCCCAACCCTATGTGAGTGATCTTTAATTAACCCTAACCCTTAATCCTTCTATGTCTCTCTTTTTTTTTTCTTCCTGTATTTAAAAAAGACAGTTCCCAAGCTGGGTGTGGTGGTTCTTGCCTGCAGTCCTAGAAGCTCTGGAGGCTGAGGCAGGAGAATCGAAACTTCAAAGCCAGTCTCAGCAGAAGCAAGATGCTGAGTAATTCAGTGAAGACCCTGTCTCTAAATAAAAAATTCAAAATAGGGCTGAGGATGTGGCTCAGTGATTGAGTGTCCCTGGGTTCAATTCCCGGTACAAAAAAAGAAGAAGAAAGAAAGAAAGAAAGGAAAAAAAAAAAAAAAAAGACAGTTCCTCTTTCTGAGTTCAATTTCCCCATCCGAAAAACAGGGTGTTGTAACTTGGTGAACTTTAAGACCACGTCCTCCTCTGGTGGTCAGTGACTCCATACTACCCCCTAGCTTCTGGCCCATCTACTAGTATAAACTACATAGTTAACAACAGCGTTTAAAGAATAATCATATATTATTTTGTATGCCTAACACTGCTTTTTCTAAGCAAATCTCTTTTTCTTCCTTAAAGAGCCAGAACAGAAATAATCTCTTATCTACAGTCCTCAAAAGTTCATCCTCTCTCCTTAGCTTTGGAAAATACCGTCCGCGCAAATCTCCTAGTAACTCTAGAACGGTTGTGAACCAAAAAGCCAGGGCGTGGTCGCCCCGCCCACCAGCCCCTACATCACCACCCCTCTCGCCGCTTTCAAGCGTGGGGATTGGCTGAACGCAAGAAAGAGCCCCGCCCCTGGTCTTATGACTCGGGCTGAAGCGGAGATTCTTGGCTCTCACACCGCTGTGGTCGGTGGTCACCCGTGCGCTGTCCCCAGGTCCAGTGAGCCCTTTCTCTGGTGTTGCTGCCCTTGTTGTCACCGCCGCCTCCAGCCCTGTAGGATCATGGTGTACTTCCGTCCCTCCTGGCTTTCAGGCTCCGGGCTCCTGCTGCTCTGTCTCGTCCTGGGTGAGTTGTCCGGGCCCTTGAGATTAGTTTCTCAGTTTGGGCCCGGGGCGCAGGTTCAAAGGCCACAACCTGAAAGACTGGACTGAGGGGGAGGGAGCTGAGAAGCTCAGCAGCTGACACTGGGCGGCGGCAGTTGCCCCTGGGAGACGAGCCATGACCTAGAGAAGGCCTGACCGAGAATGGCGGGGAATAAGGGCCCATGAGGGTAACAAGGGGCAAGTAGGGGTGGGGGGTGGACGTCAAGGGAGCAGGCAGGAAAGAGTGAAGAGTGGAGGAGGTCGGGGTAGAAAGTGTAACTTAGGGAAGACACTGAGGAGTGAGCGCTGGAGGGCGGTACATGCAAATTCTGGGGCGGCAAAGAAAATTAGGGGATTCTTGGTTTCCAAGGATCAGGGAAGACTTTTGAAGATGGTGGAAAAACTATACGGTGAGAAGGAGATTGGGAGGGAAGACACTGTACCTGCGTGAAATAGCTGGCAGCCAGGCTGTGGGGCGGCGGGGAAGTTTGGGTGGGGAGAAGAGAGGAAAGTAGAGCTGGAGGGCAGGGAGCTAGGGGTTTTGTAGGTAGGAATTTGAGGTTGTGGAGTAAAGGGTGAGTGAAGACATGAGGAATGATACTGGATTTGGCTTTTGCTTCTCAGAGTTTTAAGGGTAAAGGGACGTAGGTTGGTTGGGGGCAATTTTCAGGAGAGAAAACTTGGACCAAGACTCAAAGGATGGGTGAGGACTTTGGTGGGGAATGAATATCCGACTTGGAGGTGTTGCGAATGTCGATTTTCTATCAGTTTTGCTACTTCCTCCCAGCCAGACCCTGATCAAAAAATCCCCAGATGCTTCAGTTGGGAAAGCTTCCCAGATGAGAGGTTTTGGTGGTTGTGTATCTAAGTTTTGTATACTACCTTTTTTGCTCTCAGAATCTCTTGTTTTCTTCCTCCCCATCACTCAATTATTCTGCTACCTCTTTTTTGGAGGAAAGGGTAGGTAATTTGGGTTGTTATCAGGTCCTAAGAATGTCTGGGTGAATGAATGTTAGCTGATAGTGCTGTGCCCCAATAGACCTTGGGCCCTTAACAGCTTTAATGCCTAAACGGTGCACTTTGACCAGAATGGCTCTTCCTGACCTGATTTGTACAGAGCTTGTTACCCACTGACTCTTTCTGTTTGTGACTTGAAAGAAAAGAAGGAACAGACCCAGATGGGAGTGGGAAAGAAATAGACCTATTTGGAGGTCTGAGAAGGCAATGAGAGGTAAACATTTTGTAATTCAAATTTTAGTAGAATAAAATCAACACCCTGAAAGAGTGGATTCTCCACCAGGGGATATTTGGCAATATCTGGAGATATTTTCGGTTGTCACAACTGGGGGATTGCTTTTGGCATCTGGTGGATAGAGGCCAAATATGCTGCTAAATTTCCTATAGGCACGGGGCAGCCCTTCTCAACAAAGAATTGTCTGCTTCAAAGTGTTAATAGTATCCAGGTTGAGAAACCCTGCTTCAGAATCATAGCATCAGAAGGAATCTTGCTTATCTAATCCAGTCATTCTCAAGGACCTTTCCTAGGGGTCTCTGAAATCAAAACTTTTCAGAATAATACTAAGAAGGTGTTTGTCCTTTTCACTCTTGTCTTTTCACCAGGGTACAGTGGAGTTTTCCAGAGGCTACCAAAATGTGTGATATCACCATCCTGATGGCTCTAATGTTCTTGTGTATTATTTATTTCTCAATTTTAATTTCTATTACAGTGAATCCCGATAGTTATAAATCACATAATCCAAATCTTTGTGAGGTCCTCCATGGATAGGAAAGTAAAATGTTCCCGAAACCAGAATATTTGCAAATCCTTGATCTAGTCCAGCTGGTCATAGGCTCAGCACCACATACAAATAAATAAAATAAAAAATTTCATCAACAACTAATAAAAAATATTTAAAAAGAGACATTTGTAGAATGGAGGTGCTCCCACCAGTGAAGTACACACTAAGGATATTTATAGATTTTTCTCACCCAGAAGAGCATCAATTCTCAAAGAAAGCCTCACTCGGCCCTGAGAAAAACAGAAGTCAAGCTAGTTATGAGAATCAATAACCAGTGAAAAATTCTGCTTTTTTTCTTACAGCTTTTGCAGGAAACTCCTAGCACTTTTGAAATGGGACCATGACGCTTTGCTTGAACACTTAATTTGAAGCCTTAGCTGTACTGCAAAGCCCTTACTGAGGGCTAACTGACCCTAAGAGTTCCTTGTTTACAATAGAAAGCACCTTATCAGTGACTAGAACACATCTGACCATGACATCTGGTAACCAGAGGTTCCCTGCCAGTTGAATCTGTGCACAAAAACAACATGGCTATTGTTTAGAGAAAGGGAGAAAAAAAGTAATAGTTGTCCTACTTGTTGGCTTTCAAGTCATTAAATATTTTTTTTTTTAATGAAAGCTTTTTTTGTTTTGTTTTTATGAAAGCGGTGCTGCTCACTGCAGAAAATAAACAGGCAAAAAGAAGCACATAAAATAACCCATCAGCTCATCTGCTAGTTTGCCATTTATTGATTAGGACTAACTGGATTCATCCTCTTGGAACGTTTCCAAGATTGATTCCCTCCACCTCCCAAGTTTAGAACACTATTTGGAGCAGTAAAAGTTATAATGTAGCTAAATCCCATTTTTAAGGGTTCCAGGATGCAATGGTAAATATCTTTCTGTACAGCTGCTTTTTTTCTTACAGCTTTTGGTTCAGTGTGGAGCTCAAAGCCCTTCCATGTACCTTTTTCTGTTAAGAATTTAGCAAGTCTTTACTTATTTGATGGGTTTTGTACATTATTTTTCTATACCAAAATGGATACCAAGAATAAGTTCTTGATAACTCAATAAATAAATATTAGTAAAGTACTTACTATGTATCTAGTGTTATACCAGGGTACTATAGAGGGTACCATTGTAGGAGAGTCTGTCCTGAATTTATAGTCTCATTAGCATTGGTGTACTAGCTGCCAATTTTACTTTGTAACTTTATAACTATCCCAGCTCTATCAGAAGCCTTTTAAAAATAGCTACTTTAGGACTTGAAAATGTATCTCAGTGGTAGAGCACTTGCTTGATATGCATGAGGCCTTGGGTTCCATCCCTAGCACTGTGGGAAAAAAGCAAAAAAAAAAAAAGTTGTTTTACAATAAGACTGAAAAATAATTCTTAGTCTATGTATTGATCTTTTTCATAAAAATTCAGTTATGTTGATATTTATTTGAATGAATGATAACTGATCAGAGAACATTCTGGAAACAAACTATGTAACTTAGAGTCATTATAAAAAGGGCAGTGCATGAAAATACTTTCCTAGCACCATTGCTTAATTGTTTCCTTTGTTTCCAAATCAGAGATTTCAGAATTTTTCACTGGTTATTGATTCTCATAACTAGCTTGACTTCTGTTTTTCTCAGGGCCGAGTGAGGCTTTCTTTGAGAATTGATGCTCTTCTGGGTGAGAAAAATCTATAAATATCCTTAGTGTGTACTTCACTGGTGGGAGCACCTCCATTCTACAAATGTCTCTTTTTAAATATTTTTTATTAGTTGTTGATGAAATTTTTTATTTTATTTATTTGTATGTGGTGCTGAGAATCAAACCCAGTGCCTTACACAAGCTAGGCAAGCGCTCTACCTCTAAGTCACAATCCCAGCCCTCCACAAATGTTTTTTGAATGCCTGTTGTGCACCAGCCACTATACTGGGTGAAAGGGAGGGAACAGTAGACAAGACACATGAGGTCCTGCTCTTGTGGGACTTATATTTTAGTAGAGGAACAGAGTCCAATGTGTAAATAATATGATTCCAGATAGTGATCAACACTGTGAAGAAAATAAAGCAGATAATGAGGAAGGAGAATGAACAGATGAGAGGGGTAGGTGATGGGTGTGTTGTCAGAGGGCCATCTGTTGTTGAGTCACATTTGGGCAGAGGCCTAGGTGTTAGAAGGAGGCCAGACAGGTAACCATTTGGGGGAAAAAGAATAAATCTTGTCTTTCTAAAACTCTTAGGTTATTAACACTGGCCTATTTTCTGTTCCTTTTCTCCTCCTAGTTCTAGTCAATCTCTTTTATGGGTATTAGTTTTGGAGAGCAGAGACTATTACGTATGGCTATTTCCCAAGGCCTAGCTAGCACCAGGTCTGGTACATGGTTAACCCTCAGTAAATTCTTGTTGAGGGTATTCATTGGTGGGCACTGGCAAATATGATGGTGAACTAGACCAACTTTGATCTTCTTTCTTTCTGTGAACTTTAGATGATCTTTGCAATAAGTTCTTTTGAGTCTTTGGATTGAGAACTTCAAAATAAATTTTTAAGCATACAAGTAATTATAGACTAAGTTACTAAAGTATAATCCTATCTAATAATGCTAGTCTCTTTCTTGTGCTCCTTTAGATCTACCTGCATAGTCATGAAGGTTGATATGGAGAACTAGAAAGTTCTTGGTGATTTTTTTTTTCAGGGAGAGGGGTACAAGGGCACTCAACCACTGAGCCACATCCCCAGCCCTATTTTTTGTACTTTATTTAGAGACAGGGTCTCACTGAGTTGCTTTTTGCCTTGATTTTGCTGAGGCTGGCTTTGAACTTGAATTTCTCCTGCCTCAGCCTCCTGAGCCACTGGGATTATAGGCATGCTCTACTGTGTACCAGCTGAAAGGTATTTTTTTGTTTTGGTTTGTTTTTGGGGGGTATTGAACCCAGGGGCACTTAACCACTGAGCCACATCCCCAGCCCTTTTTTATATTTTATTTTGAGACAGGGTCTTGCTAAGTTGGTAAGGCTGGCTTTGAACTTTTGATTCTCCTCCCTCAGCCTCCTGAGCTGCTGTGATTACAGGCATGCACCACTGTGCCCGGTGAGAGTTAGGTTTTCACAAGGAGCTAATATTTCCCCTTTTGGAAGCATCTATAAAAGAGAATGCAAGTGCTGAAATTTTTCTTCAGCCTTACCACATTTTGTTTAACTTATAACTTTGA